TAAATTAGGCTTTTTAGTATCTGTGATTTTCACTCTTGGCTGATTACTTAACAGGCCAACTATTTAGCATGACCATTGTCTGCTTTAAGTGTCAGCACATAAAGTATGCACCCATGACTATTAGCAAACAGGACTGGAACATAAAAGGAGTTTTACTGCCTGAGTTGCTCAGAATACTCATTTAGCATGAGACAGTGGACATAATGACATCTGCATTTAAGTTCATTATACTGGTGCATGTGATTTTTCTTCTCCTGGTTAGCTAATGGCCTCATATTTTTCATTATCCTTTGAGATTTTAAATGACGTAGTGAGGGATAATGAGCCAGACCCCAGGATGGATGAGACAGAAAGGGGGTCTTCTCCTTTAGCCACTGCTTTGTAACAATGAAATAAGAGACAGCCCATTGACAGAGCCACGGAGCAATGATGACAGCTCTGTCCTGCATCCTAACCACAATGGAGTCAGGCAGCTGGGAAGGACACGGGAGCATCACCTGCCCATTTCAGTCACTTCTCTTGGGTCTGAGCACATTTCCCACCCAGGGGTAAGGTGATAACACATCAAAACCAACAACCTTTTGCTTCATTTTGACATCTTCCATGAAATCTGGCTTTACCCTTTATTTTCATTTTTCGTAGAAAAGAAAATATTTTCAACAGAAGAGAGAACAGATACTTGGGGTACTCAATCTGTTTGTTGTTTTTTCTTTTCTTTTTTAGTTTGGCAGTGTGACACTGTTATCAGTCAAGGTCACTGAGTCATTCTGACCATGGTAAAACATTGTTAACTTTTGGCAGATTCTGCTTGGAAATAAACATGTTGGTTTATGATCTTTCATGCTGCAACTCTACATTTGCAGAGTCAGAGCCTGGTCCATTCCACACAACAGATCACCAAGTTCTTGTTGAGGGGCTGTGTCTAGAGCTGAGCATTAGGGAAATGCCAAATACTTCTTATTCAGTAGTTTCTTTTGCTGTGTAGAAACTGGGAGTGCTGGTCAATTCAGCTCTGCTGCTAAAGCAAGTGAGCATCAAACTCGTCTTTCTGATAAATGACTCATGACTATTTGCAAAGGACACATGAATATAAGCCTGAAGGAACCATGTAGGATCACAGAGCTAATTTCTCTGAGACTGTGCCACGTACTTAGTTCAGAAGGGCCAGGAGAATTCTCTTCTGCCATTGATGCTCACTGACCATATAAAGACATCACCAGCTCAGGAGGATGCTTCCCTGACAATCCTGAGGTCTTCTATGTCCACTGCAGAAACAAAGTACTCGCTGTGATGCACCTTTTCTACCAATGCCTAATTTATCTTTGTGCAGATACACCACTGATAGGGGATTCTTAGCTCCTGAAGAGCCAGTATGGTCAGTCAAACTTTGGGCATTTCTCTCTGCTGCAAGCCAAAGGTGGGCAAGTGTGCAGCACAAGGAAGAATTTGCAGCAATGCCAATGTCCTGTTACCCAAGGGTCAAGAGTTTCCACTGTTGCTTCTCACCAGCACCACTGCATAAATGTCTCTACTTGTCTGATTGAGATGGAAATTGCCATTCATCACAGCATAAGGGAGCTTAAGCTGTCTTAGAGCAAGTTGCCAGTTAACCAGCACTTAATATATAATTAATATAGTACAAGGCATGTCCTTGCAGCTGAAAGATTTAAATGTCTCAGATGCAATAGCTTCCAAAATCTTGTAAGATTCCTTCTGCAGTGCTTGCTACCTTCCTGCTGTTGAGAGGGAGCAGTCAAGATAGGCACTTTGTGTTCATTATCCAGCACAATATTCACTGGTTCATTTAATTAATGCTTAGAAAATATATTTGATGAATTGTAAGTGACTGGGACCACAGAGGAGAGATTATGGGTAACACAGAAATAGATTAACATTGGCTGAGCTTCCTTCTTTACCTCTGAAACCTTTTAAAAAATTATTTCTCTGGTTTTCATATTCACATAATCTTGAGGAGCTTTCTCCCTTCACGCACACACCTAATTTCTCATCACAACTGTTGCTGGCTATCAGAGAACTTCTCATAGGAGCTGTCTGAGGCAGTGCTGTTTGTTGGTTGCATTGCAGGAGATGTTAGTAGCAGAGCTAAGGTGTCAGACACACTGCACTGCCTGCATCTCTGCCCAGCCCATCAGTTCCTGGATATTTCATCTTCACAACTCGTGGAGGAATGCTGCTCTCTTAGGAGTCCTCAACAGAAAGCTAATGGTTACCTCTTAAAACTGATGATCTTGAAATATGCAGTAAGAATTGGCTTATAATCTTAATAGGCAAAACAGACACAGGGGGTCAGAGGAGGGTGGAGTATTTCCTAAATACAGCCCAGCAGCCCCAGTCAGCTACATGATTTGCTGAAGGTCATGAAGTAAATCTGTGTCACAGTCAGGAATTTAACACAGATTTCTTGATTAATTCATTCCTAGATTCTTCTTCCTGCCTCCTTAGGCATTGACATGGACCATTTTAAAGTGCAGTTTCCTACACCATGTTTGGAAAATGTTTGAAAAACAAGAGGAGGTTGGAGAGAGAGTTACAATTAGTGCAAAAAAAACATATTTCCCTCCTCTTTCTGTTGCTTCAGTGCCAGCTGTACATTTAAGAGAGTCTACTCCAGTTCAGGATTTCTGAGCCTGCCACACAGCAAATCTCGTAAGAGTTCTCTCTGCAAATCTCTTTTTGTTCTTTTTTTGAAGTATCACACCAATTTCCTGGTGCACATGCTTTGTATTTGCCTGGGTGCATGCATGAGAGCCAGTAGCTCCCCAGCACACCCTGCACTCCAGAGATCACTTGAGAATTGCGTCTTCTTTGTGAAGTATCATGTGTAAGCTCTGTGCTCTAAGAGACTTGATTTTGTACAGAAAATGATCTGTGAATCTGTGGAAAGCCCTGGGAAAGATCCTTGCAGCCTTAAGAAATGCAATATTGCCCTCTAGTGATGAGGAGGATGGTCTCATTCCATCTGCTGATGAAACAAAAAACGTTCCTGATAACCTTCACTGGGTTTGAGAATGAAATAAACATTCCTGCTTATTCTGCCCTTCAAATTAAAGATTCCAGAATCATAACCAGGAGAGAACTGGTAGCACTGATAAGCAGAGGAGGTTCTTTAAGAGTAAGTGTAAAAATGCCATTTTTCTCCCTGAATTCAGCAGATGGAAAGCCAGCTGCACTCAAGAAAGCAGATCTAGCAAGAAGGCGGCTTTTTAATGCAGCATCCTTGTTGCATTTCAGAAGCCAAGTGTATTTTTATTTGCCAAGAACAAAAAAAGGTTTCAAGGACAGGAGGTGAAACCCAGTGAAAACTAGAGGAAAAAAAAGTGCTTTTTTCTTTTTTTTTTTTCATCCTTAACGATCCTACATTCAGATGTCTTTTTTTCCGTTTTGTTTTCTTTTCTTTTGCTTATTTTTTTGCTTTTTTTTTTTCAATTTCTCATTTGAATTTTTCTAGAGGGTGAAGAGGAAAGGTAATAGCAGGAACACTTCAGCGGAGGAGCTCAAAATGTTTCACTACAATAAGCAGTTGGTCAGGAAATAAACTGTTTTGAAGGGTCTTCAGAAGACACCTAGGAGCACTGCAAAGCTCTGAACTTCACCCATAAGAAGGTCCCGTTTAAAGCCCCCTGTTCTGCAAATAGCTCGACATGGACAATCCTTTTAGTGTTTGTGTGAAGCCCCAGGAGTTTCAGCAGCCCACAGCTCCCCTGCTAGACACTGGAGTTTGGGAGTAAGTGGAATAGATTTCTCTGTAACTGGACCTGTGTCTCTACCCAGTTTTCTAAGGTATCTCACTGGTTTTTTTTAAGTTCCTAATGCAGACAGCATTTCCCCGGCACTTTCCCTATCCTAATTCCTTCTGACAACGCACGATAGTATTGGAATTTATGTAAGGAACATTGTTGCCACTGTACTGCAACTAAAAGATCTCCCTGAAATGAAGTGGGCAGATAAATGTATTTCTTACTAAAAATAAAAACTAAATGTAAAACTCACCTTGATCATATACTGAACAGGCTTTCTCTGTTGCTAACGGAATCCTTAAAATACACAACATACGCATGTGAAATGGTCAGTTATTAACCTTGATGATATCTGGCACTTACTTTTATCTTGTCATTTTTATCCCAAGGGTCACAATGCAGAATTGTGACAAGAGCTGGAGTTTAGTTGAGATGGTGGCAAAACTCTCAGAAATTTCACTGCCGAAGGATCAAAGTTTCAAAGCAAGCAAGACACGAAACACTGAACAGTTTAATATGTGAGATGAACTTTCTGTGTAATTGCAAACATTTGGGGTAATCAGGTAATGCAGTGGTGGGTTTTTTTGGACACAGAGTTTGGACTAGGCAGCTTTTTAATGAGTTCTGAGAAGTCATCTCAGCCATTGCTCAAAAAGAAATACATTACTGTCATCCCCAGCATTGATACCCATGCTACTGGTAAGTAGTGCAAGGTCCTTAGCTAGTGCTGGTTAATTACTCTGCAGCCATAGCTGCTGCCTGCTAAACACAAAAATAGAGCAAGAAGAAATTTCAAAATTTGTCTTACACAGAGCTGAAGTCAACAGGAGGGAACCCAGGAGTGGAGTTCTGGCAGTGAAAATTTCATGAGGTGTACATTGGTGGCACAGAAATAGATTAGGAAAAGGAATGAAGATAATATGCCAGAATGTGACACAGAACGAAGTTTACAAAATAAACAGATAAGGGATTGTTTAAAGTATAAAGACAACGCGGAGGGTTTATTAGAAGCAAGATAATCCTCTTGCTGATCCAGTTGCTTTGATGGGCTGAGGTGGTGCCGAGTCATCAGGTAGAGCACAAGCTCTTTCATCACTCCATCTGCATCATGAACAAAGAAACTTCATTCTCTGCATACCCATCGTGATTCCACTAACCACTTTTTTTTTCAAGTAATGGACGTATTTTCAAGTTCTACCCCGGTTCTCCCACATATCTCACCTCTTTTGCTTTTCTTTTCAGGTTCTACATTGAAAGCATCTCCTATCTAAAGGACAACGCCACCATAGAGCTGTTTTTCTTGAATGCCAAGTCCTGCATCTACAAGGTAAGGACTCTGGGAGCTCCGGGGGTGGGCTGAGACATGTGGTTCTGCATCCCCTGACCCAATCTGCATTGGCTGCAGAACTGAATACCTGTAGCATGACTATAGAAACAAGCCGTACGAGCTTGTAACGAGCAGCAGCCGAGGTCAGCCCTCAGGGCGGCGGAGCGGAGTCCGGAGTGTTTCCCGCCCGAAGAGGGCGGCAGCGGCCGCCTCGGGAAGAAGATGGGCGCCATCTTCTGGGGTTAGGAAGGGGGGGGGGGGGGGGGGGGGGGGGGGTGCGTGTGATTTGCGTACGTGCGTAAGGAAGCTGTGAGGCTGTGTGCGCACGTGTGTCTGTATGAGCGTGTGCGAGGGTCGGGGTGTGTGATGGCGTGTGGCTGTATGCGTGTACATGATGTTAATTCTGTGGGATTTTGTGAGAGAGGGGTTCCCTGCACAGCCTGCTTTTGCAACCTCCCAGCAGTGTGTTAGCGACTGCTCAGACAACAGGCTTATATCAAATCTTGGCCCTTGCTTCCTGATCTCCACATATCCAAAAATCCAGGATTAACTCTGCATGTCCAAAAATGCAGGGTTAGATAGGAGAAGCTGGCAAATGCCTGTTTTTTTCTTTTTTTTTTTTTTTTCCCAGCGTCCAGAGAAAGGGCAGGGCAGAGCTCCGTGCTCTGACAGAGCTGCAATTAGACGTGCTTCGTCAGCCCTCTCCAGCACTGAGCTCAGAGCATCGCATTTTGGTTACAGGGGAAAAGTTCTTTTTTGGAGTGTTGCCAGGAAAAGCTTCTGCTGTTGTTCTTATTTTTTGAATTATTTTTATTTTCCGGATAAAGCTTAAAAAGAAAAAAAAAAGGGGGGGGGAGAGGGGGGGGGGAGAGTGCCTACAGATCTGGGTTGATCTATTTTAATCTGACCTCTCCTAAAACCATTACTTTGCACATTTGAGCTGACTGTCAGCTCCATCCATAAATAGCTCTGCTGGATTCCCAGTCTCCCCGAGTCCTTCTCCATCTGATTCCAGCCACAGTAAGCCATGCCATGCTATGAAAAAGGATGCTGAATTTGAAAGCTGGGTACAAGGTCTCCGATCAGACACAAAATGAGCAGCCAGCCAGCATGTTTGGATGGAAGGATCTCTAGGTGTAGAGAGTGGCATTCACTGCCTGTCATCCCCAAACCTTGAAAGTTTCCTTGTTGCACAAAAAAGTTTTCTCACTGGACTTCTCACAGATGACTTCATCCCAGGTTCCCCACAGCCAGGAAAGGCCATGCTATGTATGATACATGTAGTTCATAACACCATTTGTACCAAGCTGTGTGGTGCAGTCGTGGCACCTGGGGGCAGGATGCCATCCAAAGAGACGAGACAGGCTCAAGCAGCAGCCCCAGGAGAAACTCATATGGCCCAACAAATACAAGTGCAACGTGCTGCGCCGAGATTGTGGCTACTCCTACTAGCAATACAAACTGGGGCATAGCAGTTTGTTGTCAGCAGCCTCCTTCAGCATGAGGCTGCTGGTCTCCTGGGCTGCCAGCTGGCTCTGTGTTGGGTACTGCACCACTCCTATGAGTCCTGCAATTGACCCACTCACCCCAATTTTAGCACAGCACCATCCCAGCCAGTGTTGCTCAGAAAAGTAAAAAGACATTTGTACTACCGGCCAGGCAGGGCTTGGTGTTGGGTACTGTCCGTCAGTCTGTTTCATTACTAACATGTTCTAGTACAGGTTTTGTCCTGTGCCAACCAGGCATTGCTGGAGGCCTGTTCAAGGATGTGCACCTGTTTCTGAAAGGCAGTATAGTTGTGGTAACTCTCTTTGGGGCTGGGAGAGGGAGAAAGAGTGTTTAGTCATGAGTTTTTCTGTGCTGCATACCCTTAGGGTCTGAGAATGGCTTCTGGCCCACTCTACCCACTAGTGTGGACTTGTCGCAACATCGACATGGGCTTGTAGAGGCTGGCTCATGTGTGCAGTGCCCAGTGCACCACAGAGAGACAGGCATTCAGGCTCTCTGCATCACCGCTTGCTATGGGACACTCCTGACTGCCCCAGCCTGCAGCTGCGTGGATATCTCGCACCAGCCGCTTCCCTTGGCACAAGTACCTCGTTAGTGCAGGTGCCTGTGTGAGTCACAGTTTAGCTGAACTGAGGGAGGTGTATTTATTGCCCTTAGCAGAGCTGGTCTTCACTCCCCAGGGAGTTGTTATGAAGGAGGTGAGGGAAATGCTTATTTTAAAAAGCTGGCACTGGTGAAAGTCAAAGACACCTGGATCTTAATCTCTGTTTTGTTCCCTTTGTTTTTGATTTTGCCAGAGACGAGCCAAAGCAATTGTGGCTTGTAAATGAGGTGTGGCCCTGACTTGGCTGGAGCACGGATCACAGCAGCAATCTATATTTAGATAACTCATTTCTTGCCAGATTAAATAAAATATTATAAACAGCAGTTTAAATAAATATAACAGAAGAGCCACAGGAGTAAGCTAAGCACGTATGTGTATGTGGCCACATGGGAGATCTAGTTGCATAACTGAGGCCTTAACTGCATCAGCAAAAGCCCATTGTCTTCCCAAAAGCCAAAATTGGTTGGGACTTGAGCATGCTTGGCCATATGGCTTCTGCCTCCCTTCCCAAGCATTCCTGATGATGTGTCTGTGTCCCACACGTTCAGAGTGGAGCGGTGCACAAACCGCATAGCCCTGTGACCGCTATTTCAGATGCAGCAGAAGAACGCTGAGAGGATTGGATGCAGCCAGCAGTGTTCTTGTGACTGCAGCATCCAAGCAAAATGCTCACAGTTTCACCTAACCCTCAGAATTTACTTTTGTCAGGGTCCAGATTCTGTAGAGTAGAGCAATGAAAATCTACTGAAAGATTTGCTTTCACAGTTTGCTCTCAAAGTACCCCCACCCCCATGCTCAGGGACATGAAGGGGCTGAAACCAGATCTCCCGTCCTGTTAGAGGCAATATGGCTCATTTTCCTGTGAGTTTACCCTGGACAAGGGCCAGAGGGGTTTCTGCAAGGGCTTTGATACCACTTCAGTGAAGACAAATTTTCTCATTTCCATGCTTCTGTGAGCCAAGGACAAAACTGTGTTTTCCTGAAGCATGGGTAGAACTGGGGGGAGAAAAACCTTTATTTCCCAAACTATCTTTTACTAAATCATGCTTGAAAGTAAAAATGACCCTGATCCTCCCCATTCCACCTGCCTTCTCCTCCTTCCTCCCAAGAAACCCCTTATGCCACACTGAGTTATGCTTCATTTGCCAGGCTGTCATGCTGAATATTTGGCTTTCTCCACATCAGAGTGAGCAGGTTCAGACTCACTTTGGTCTCCAGGAGCACAGGGCCTGCTTTGAAGCCTGGCCAGGGCAGAAAACTGGCACCACGTGCTTCACTCTGCAGTAGACAGGAGGAGATGCATTTTGTTCTTGCAGGATCTCAAAGTTACTGAATTCTTTTTGTTTTCTTCACCCTCCTAGGAGCTCATTGAGGTTGACAGTGAAGTGGTGTTTGAACTGGCTGCATATATCTTGCAGGTAAGCACCAGCCTCTTCTTGCTTCATGCACCTTTGTATTGAATCTTTTGACTGGCTAAATCAAAAAGGGCTGTACAGAAGTGTAGGGGTTCCCCAAGAGTCCCTGCAGACCAAAGGGAAGAATCCTAATTTATGCCTGAGATACATGTAACCTCCAGCTTCTTTTCAGGTTTGCACTGAAAATGATCTTTCTTTTCAGCAGATAAGTTATCTCTACACAGCTTTCAGCATTTACAGAATCACAGAATCACCTGGGTTGGAAGGGACCTCAAGGATCATGTAGTTCCAACCCCCCTGCCTACCAGGGCCACCAAACATACACATTCAGATCAGGTTGCCCAGGACCCCGTCCAACCTGGCCTTGAACACGTCCAAGGACGGGGCATCCACAACCTCCCTGGGCAGCCCGTTCCAGGGCCTAACTACTCTCCTTGTGAAGAACTTCCCCCTAACATCCAACCTAAATCTTTCCTCCTTCAACTTTGATCCATTTCCCCTAGTCCTGCTGTTTATACCAAAGCAAAATAAGTACAGAAGCCTCTTACACCAGAGCTCTCCACATGTGAAGCAGATGCCACTGCACAACATTTTGCTTACATAAATATATATATCATATTAGCTCTAACACAGATATCCAAAGCCTTGGACTATGATGTAAAGCCAGAAAGAATTCTAAGCTATAAATGAGATTTCCTGGATGAAATATGTATCCAGTGAGTTCCTCTCCAATGACTTCAGTTGCATTTGTTTTATCAGTGTTGCTTGCCCTCCTGATGATCTCCGTAACCTTCTATATATGCAAGTGTCTGTATTTTCCAACGTGGGCAGAAGGGCATAAAGCCTTTCCAAAACCACTTCTTCAGAAACAAAAATTGTCATTTTCCTCATCAGCAAGAGGGAAAGGGTCAGAGTTTGAATTACCAGCAGGGTTTGGTAAATCTCTTGTTCCCAAAGAGGAACTTTTTCAGGACAGCAGAAGCGTTTGGTTTGAAAGATCGCTTTTTATGAGCATAACTATGGGACCAGATCAGAGATAGCTGTCAAATGATTCTTGTCCCCTTTTCTCACGGTGTAGATTCTGTTTTGTTTTCCCATCAAGCATGAAGCTGTGAGGCTTCATATGAGCAGACAAGACATCTCATCAGACTGCACAAATAAATAACAACGCATTGCGCTTTTACAGCACTTTTCATGTTAAGGAAGCAATTAATGTGTAGGGATTTGAATCTTCATTAAGAACATTTTGTGTAACAAAAATGGAGAGAGAGTCAGGATGGGGGACTCAATTAAAAGCACATTAAAGGAATTGCTTATTGGTTGTTGGGGAATACGCATCAAACAAGAGGGTTATTGTGTGAAGTAGCAGTAGGGTTATGAATCTATTGTCTGCTCATCCTAGTGAATAACTTAAGCACTTAGTAACTGTACGCCCAGATCCAGATCTGCCACTTCAAACCTCACTGCTGTGATTGTTTCTCATCACAAACACAGGATATTGCGTTTATTCCTGTAGTAGTTTGATGTGTAACTTCATGAAAACAGTCAAAACAAGCCACACCTCTGCCGTCTGTAACCAGAAATTACTACAGTCCGTGTTTGTGACAGGATCTGTGCGAAACAAGAGGGATCACGCAGCATTGTTTTAGTCCTCGCTGCAGCGTAGAGGTCAAAGAACTGAAGGATGGAGAATCAACCCTACAAAACTGTTTTCTGAATTCAGTATGCTCATCCTTGCTCAGGCCAGGGCTTACCTTTTGGGTTTTGCTTTGTGTTGTACTACAATCATGATATGTTCAAGGATTCCTTTCCCTGAACCACAGGAGAGCCCTTCTGCCCTTCACTTTGCCCAAGGGGAGATGGGAAGATACTAAAGGACTGTCAGAACTCAAATGATTTACTCTGCAGCCTTACTTCAAATTATTGTGTTACCAGAAAAAATTAAAGTGCTACCAAAGTTCTGTACTTTACCCTAGCCTCAGAAGTGAAGCACCACTGAACATGGGCTGACAGGTTTCGAGTGTGGATGGGTGAGTGGAGAGACAAGGACCTGAATAGAAAATCTGGAAACTCCCTCATTGCAGAAATTACTGACCAGTTATAAATTACATTATTGCACTGTGCTTTGTGCGTAGCTGTCAGCAAATAAGGTGCTTGGCGTACATAGAATGAAATGTATATTGCCTGTGGATATTGCAAAATGCAAATTGCATCTATTGAAGATGGAACTCAATAGATTTTGAGGGTATGACAGATATCCAGTAAGACTCAGATACTGATCTAAGTATTGCGTAGAATATTACCCAATCCTTTAACATCAGTCCGTGACATTAATAAATAGAAATAACTGGATATTTAAGTAAGGGAGCTAAATACTCCCAGAAATACCCAGCAAGGTGTTAGGAAGTTCTGAGTCTTACACCCCCTTGGGAGCTGCAGGTGAGATAGTTTTCTGAAAATCTACTTAATGGGAAATAACTGACTATTGTAAAAAGTCCTGAGGATCTCAGAGGCTGCAAAGTCACTGAGGCTTTAGAGGTTTTCTATTAACATAGCATCCATGTCGACCAACATAATAACTTAGTACCATTATTTCCTCTAGCTTCTTGGGAATCCATTAGCAGAATGATGAATCACTTGGCCACTGTTATTAGGCAAACCTTTTTGTTAATCTGCCCGGCTCACTGCAGCTGGTGTGGTGCTTGGCTTTAGAGACTGGTTCAAGAAAATACATGAGGAATCACTTACAACTGAGGAAGTTGCTGCTAAATGAATTTTGCAAATGGAAAATCTTTAACAGCGATTTTATGGATTTCTGTGTGTGCGTTTTTTAATGGTATATTTATGCTTATCCCTTATTTTGCAGGAGGCAAAGGGAGATTTTTCAAGGTAGGTAACATTAGAAGTTTTTGTCATTGTGTGTTTTGAGAGTGAATCAAGTGAAATCACAGTGTGAGTGATGTGACTCAGCTGTAGCTGTGTAGCAGCAGGAATGGATTGCAAGGATAGACACCTTGTTTCTTTACAAAACACAGCCTTTGACCAGAGCATGCCCTCGCAAACAGCATTATTTGTTATGTTGTTGTTGACAAATCCCTTTACATACCCATGAAGTTCAGGAAATAGACTAGTCTTTGGAAGGAAACTTTTTTTTTTTTTTTGTAGGGAAAGGACCCTACAATCACTTTTATATCACAGACCTAGCATGAGGCAGCATTAAAATTCCATCACTGATCAATGTTTCAGCTCGAATTTGGACTGAGTTCTCAAAATCAGAATTTAAATGACTGGTTTTGTTGAACTCCTGCTGTCCCTTGAGCCAAATCTTTAGAAGTGCTCTAAGAAATTCGGAGAGGTGACTCCATCTATTCAGTAGCAATCAAAGGTCAGGTGGCTGTTTGATGCCTCATGTGAGAAACATGAAAGTTCTTCATCCAAAGCCTAGGAGATCTGTCTGCTAAATAATTCACACACTCCATATATATTTTTTTGCTGACCTGTGCCTGAGGTCATCTGGGGAACCACAGTATCCACAGAAGGTAATTTCAGAGAAGAAAAGAAGGTGTGATTGGGCAGTGAGGTTGAATTGCTGGAGAAGCTTGTTGGCGTTACGCACACTAATGGTACTCCACACACACACAGAGGACTGAAAAAACAGCAACCTGAGATACGTCAGGTCCCACCTTGTGGTAAACTGAGACTTCCAGTCCACTGAGTTTCAGATAAAGTAGCAAAAAGGCATTGCAAATAATTGCCTGCTCGTCACAGAATCTGAGATTGACGTAACGTAACCCTTGCTAAAAAAAAGTTCAAGTTCTGCCCTATCATTTCTCAAAACACAGAAGCGCAAACCCAATTTTGCTTCATCTTTCAGTTTCACTCAGTTTGAACTAACTCAGTTATCAGCACTGTTCAGGGGATGCTGGAGTTCCTGTGGCTCTTCTATTTTTCAGTCTGGTTTTCTATGCACTGTCATTTGCTCAGCCTGGAAGATCTGGACCAAACAGAATTTTCTCACTCTGATCTGTGCTAAAGCACATCTTCCATTGGTTTTACTATGAGGACCAATATTTAAAGTTTCTCAGAATATCTAGACATGATGAATCAAGCTACATGCTCGGACTGTGAACCTTAGAACAGAGAGGAATCAGTTAGATGGCTCAGTGTAATAGGACTGAGAGCATTTTCTCTTCAAGTATTTCTTTCCAGACCTGAAGTGGAAATAGCAAATGGAAAACATCCATCTTTGCTGTCCTTTGCTGTAAAAGGAATAGTTGAGATTAACAGCACATTTCTCTAGACCTTGAGGATACCCAAAATGTCACAAAACGTGGTTTCTCCATGCTGTTATAACAGTCATCACTATTAAAACAGCTTTTATTCCTTTTCACCTCAAACCTCTCAAAGGTTTTAAGTGGAAGAGGGAATCCTTATGGCCAAGTCAAGCAGAGAAGTGGTGTCATAATAACAGCTTGCTGACAGTCCCAGGGATCTTAACTTTTAAATGGACTTTGGAGACAAAGCAGTCTGCTCTATTAATGGAATTTAAAGGCTGTTCTTGAGGAAACGTTGAAAAATCCTACCCTGACAATTTATATTCTAGGAGAAGACTTAACATCTCCAGGGATACCTGTCCAGTGTCTCCCTCATAACGTGCACTGACAGGGGTTTATGTGCTGGGTGAGATCCAGGTGCTACTGAAGTCAACATGAGGTCATTGTGGTCAAGACTTTGCCCACTGAGAGTTGTGGTTATTTGTATCAGTGCAAAATCTGAGAGGCAAACCAAGCCAGGAGCCAGCAAAAGGAACTGCAGATGAAGATATACGTACTGACTGAATGGCTGAAGTTGGCTTTAGTGTGTGAAGTTTGCTGTTGAAATGTTGCTTGTAACACAACTGGCTGTTCTTTCAAACAGAGAAGCTTTGCAATTGTGAATATCTTGAGATTTAAAGATAGTATTTTGTTCATGGCAGCATATGTTGCATGCAAGCTGAACTCTTGAACTCCTGCTTTGTTTTCAAAGAATGCAGACTGAAGATTTCCACACTTGGGTTGTCTGCTGCCACCATCAGATTTAGAGCCTGTGTGACTGCAAGTTTCTCTTTGGCCCTAATCCATAAGAGCACATAAGCACCGGCTCATTTGTGATGAGGGAGAATAGATGTTCCCAGGGAAGCCTTCCTATGAGTTGCTGCTCATCACCTTGGGTACTGCGATAGCCACGGCCAAGTTGTCACAGTTTGAACTGGGGCTGGCACCTGCCTGTAGTGACCTGAGTCACCAAATCCCACTGCACCCAGGTGGTGGATCACAATGGGCTTGTTCAGGGTTCCAGAATGAAGTTGCAAGTCTTCTTCTGGGGTTTCATTAGAACTCAAAAAAACAGAATTGATCTTAGAAATTCTAGCAGTTAGTTTTCTAGTTTTGTGAACTACCGCATCTACCTTGACAGCAGCTCTCACTGCTGCTTTAGAAGAGCTCATCCCATGCCTCAAAATGTAACTGTGCTCGTAGTACTCTTCTTTCCTATACCCAGAAGAGCTTTATGTGCTATTTCAATGTCATGTTGTTCATTCTTTGGTAGGACATCATCACATGTGAGTCTCTCTGCACTGATTTTTGCCACCCAGGATTACTGCCTAGTCTGGGCATCTTAATTACTGCCCAAGTGTTTGCTAAGCCTGGAGAGCACATAGTCTCTGTCTTGAGCTGGTTCTGTCTTGAGCTTGTCTTAACTGTCTTGAGCTAAGATGTCACAATAGCCCTAATGGATCCATTTGGTCTCTAACTCCTCCAGCTAAGGTTTTTTTTCCCCCCCATTTCTAATATGTAATTAATTTCAAAGGCAGATCTGTCAAAAATCCTGAGCTCCTGAACCTTTCTAGGTGAACCCAGAGAAGCATTTCTCAGTGTTTGCTTTAAGTGGCCTGGTCAAACTCAGTGTTTCGCTAGCAGATTTTTACATCTCTGGGTTGATGCAGATTTAGGCAGAACACAAACTGAGTGAGATTTTAAAATAGAATGTAATTCTCCTTAAAATGTTCCTAGTCCTCTGCACTAACAGATGAAGCTTTTCACATTGTTGCAGTCTACTAAAATGCTTCATTTGACAACAGAACGAAAAAGGTTTAGATTTAGCTTAGCACATGCTATTGAATTTTGGGCAATTAGGTATCCCTGTTCAATGGATTCTCAGTTAAACAGGACACTTTAGATTTGAGCTGTTCTTTTTGGTATTAGTTACCAAAAAATTGGCACAGGATCACCTGCTCTGTAAAGCTACTAAATTAGTATACCACAAACAGATGTAAAGGTTATTAGCTCAAGCTAAAATTATTTCTAGGTGGGGACAAAGTCACACTTGGTTGGCAGAGAATAGGCATTTCCAAGTTTCATTTTGTTAGATGAATGTAAATCCTACAGGTGTGACTCTCTTTAGGCCCTCAGAGATGAAGGAATTATGGTGCTCTGGTTTATTTGGTTGTGGGCCATAGTATATTGTTGTTAGATTTTCCCCTCTAATTAACCCTACCAGATTTTAAATCCTATCTGATGTAGACCAAAATAATTGGGTAACTCACACCAACTTCTCAACCCTAAGCAGTCCCTGTGTCAAGGCAGCTAGAAATAACATACACCAGTCATACCTTAGACTGGGGAGGGGAAACACTGAATTAAAGAAAATCCTGAAATGCTGCAGCTAGTTCTTCAGGGTGACTCTCCTAGATTGCAGGTTAAACACTATGAGATATTTCAAGTCAACTCCAAGTATCTCCCAGCAAAATATGAAATAACAAGGGAGGAAAGGAAAGCAAACAGCCAGTTTGCTGTGAAGTAGAGTTTCATAATAAAGTCAACATCTGGGTGGATGGTAACCTGACATGGTTTCAGGCTTACTTTTCTTTCCGAGTAACCAAGTGGCATTTAAACAGCTGAAATTTATTAAGTGGTTACAAAACCCATTCTGCACTCTTCCATCTTGCAACCACATGGAGGAGATCCTACACACTGTATCTCAAATGGTACTGTTTATTCTGAGAATTTCAGACTCTGCATTTCCTTTTTCGTTCAACTGAATTAATTGCTGTGCTGAGAAGAGTTGAGAGCTTTCACCTGCAGCTTTGTTTTGTTACTGATCACTGTTATTACACATGCTGGAAAATGTATGGATTTCCTGAGACATAACTGCATGTGTAATATTGCTTAAAATTATTGCAGCCAGTTTGCAAAAAAACCCACTTGTTTTTCACAAAATGCTTATGAATTGGCTAGGTAAGCCTTTATGTTCATGTGTAGAAAAAATCAGAGATGCAGACAGCAGTTTTTTGGGCCAAGGAACTCAGGTGTTCCTGTTTTCTAGGTCCATTCTCCAGCCAGTCAACTCTATTTCTGGATATCTAACTAGCAGCCAGGATCCTGTGGAGATGGCTTTTCCAATTCATTTTTCATCTTGTCATTCAGTCTCCTAAATAATATAATTTCCACTATAGGGCAGGATTGAAGTGGTCTGGAGGACATAGAGGAAGTTTCTTTGGAGCCTTTTACTGTGTGTATTAATGAATGTGAATTAAAAGCACCCTTCTATATATTACCAATCCTGGAGGTACATGAGACACTTTAAGACTATGAGACAAATGCAGCACCAGTGACAGGATTAAACACTTCCTAAATACAGTAATAAAATAAACACACTGAGATATTTCACTAGAATGATTTGGAAACGCAGTAAGTAAGAAACCACTTGTGATCGTGCTGGAAACATTTCAAAAATTAAGGAGTTTGGTGTTTTAATGGAGGAAAGTGACCTCGTGGCCACCAGTTCAAATGCAATGTGAGCCATTCTTTTTTCCTGTCTGCTTGATTTGACATCCTTTAGGGAGTCTAAATTCAATTGCCTCGAGACTCTAGCCAGAAGACTCAGTGAATATACGGACTAGGGAATGAAATGTCTTTTTGTTCTGAAGTTATGACCTGAAGTACATTTGTCCCTTTGAAGTCGTGCAGCACTACCTTTATTTTATGATATTTCCTAGGTACTGAGCAGAAATACTGATGCCATCCAACAAAATTACAAGAAATGTCTTTTCTTTGGATTTTTAGAAGACTGTTTTTAATCCCAGTGCAGGCTTTGTTCCTCACTGGCAGGAAAGAGGGAGCTGATTGGTATTTGCCCTCTCTTTCATGGGAGCTGTTACTGGCTTAGGGTTTTTCCCAGACTCTCAATGATAGTTAGTCACTGCTAATCTCATCCTACTTGACAGTTGTCTGAGTCCAGAAAGCCCCTGTTTGGAAATCACTCTCTATCTTCCCAGAAGAGTTTTGGAAGTTTCTCAACTTCCTTCTGTAAGCAGCCAACCTCAAAAAATCTTCACTTGAGGGTAGGAGCTGCCTCTTGTGCTTCAGTTGTTCTGGTAATTTTTTATAATCTTTTTTTTTTCTTTTTGGTGGTAGGTTTTTTTTTTCCTGTTTCTTTCATAATGTCAAAGAACTCATTAAGAGCTGAGTATCACATGCTGTGGAGGAGATATCTCTAGGCAGATCCCGTAAACTCTATACAGAGCAGAAGCTTGTTTTCTGAGCTGTCAAACACAGCACAGTGGCCAGATCAGCAGATAACACAGAGCAGAGCAGCTTCTTGTTCAGACTTGTGCATATATTTACCTGCACATGGTTAATGAAAGAAACATCTGAATAGTTTTCAATCATTTGCACTTGCAAAGGAAGATCTGATGTTCAAATGACTGTGAAATTTAGGCAAGAGTGGGTCTTCAAACAGTTTGCCAGACTTGGCATATGAGATGTTACTGAGTTGTTTACTGTGTGCTTAGTATGGCAGTAGTTGCCATAGTCATATCTTGCAAATGCTGTTCTACACATATTCCTTCTGCAAAACTTGAACCTGATTGACACTTGGGCATCTCTGGCATAGATTTATATTGACTAGAAGTCATGGTCCTGTTTTAATTCTACTTATATGATTGTCAGGGAACTGCCATGATAATAGATATCTGTAGATGTTCCAAAATGTCTGCTCCAAGGTTTATGTTAATAGTTTATCCTGTAGCTCAACCCTGCAATTAACCTGCAAACTCCAATTAATACAAACCCATTTAGGTCCCAGGCAGAGCCTTCTGCTGGGATGCACAAATAGACAAATGCTGTGGGAAAATGTTTACTGAAGCAGTACAACATCTCTGGGAGCCGCCCCATAGGATGTCACAGAGACCAGAACAAAGCCCAGGGTGAACATCCTAGGGCTCTTTGGGCCTCAGATGGTCAGGTGGTCCTGTCAGGAGGGCTGGTCTACAGCTGGGGATGCCAAGACTACCTGTCTGCCTGCTTAATGGCTCTGCTGCTCTACAGGGGAAGCAAATAGGCTGGGAAATTTAGAGCTCTGGAAGAGGTGTCTGACTGCAGCTCCAGGATAGAATCACAGAAGCACAAGGTTGGAAATGACCTTCAGGATCATCTAGTCCAACCTTCCTCCCATTATCACATTGCTACCACAAGCTACTAAAGCATATCTCATAGCTCCTCACCCAGATGCCTCTTGAACATTGCCAGGGACGGCGACTCCACCACCTCCCTGGGCAGCCATTCCAACACTTTTTTGTAGGATAAAGAGCTGGGTGCAAGAAGGCAGGAAAAAAAATGCTATTAAAAAGTCAGCCAATTTTGGCACTTCTCAGTGTCCTGTCTGACCCTCTTAGCAGTGTATTTCTAAGGTACTAAAAGCAGCAGCAACTCTGCTTTCCCTTGCAGACCTTTGAGAGATTTCTTTTTGTGTGCTTGCAATTCCTTATGCATTTGGAAGCTGAAGGGAAGGCATTTTGGGCTGCTAGAAGAAAATCCCATGGTTTAATTTCATCTGTGAGAACCGGTCTGCCATTTCATGAGCATTTTCTGCTCGTTGGTGTGCAACTTTGTTGCTCCAGTTGGCCGGAGCTGTAGCTGGAAACTGCAGGGAGGAGAATGCTAGCGAAGTAATTGGGCCTGGTCCTACTGAGGATGTAAATTCAGGCTGGAGTCTTATCAGTGAAGATGTGCAAAGGCCTGTTCCCAAGTGCAAAATGCTAAGAGCAACGTATGGTGCTAAGAAAGCAAATAATTACTTTTTGCAACAGGTTTTAGGCATTAAATAAAAATGTTTTACTGCAGATGAAAGCATCTCTTCTTTTTTTTTTTTTCTTTTTCCCCTTGTTCTGTTTATGAATGTGTTCTTGGGACATTGCTCTGTGCAATTTGGCATGGTAACTTGTGTGTCCAGAGTCACTGGTAGGAAATGCTTCAACATAACCATCTGAAAGAGCTTTGCTCCAATTTTGATAATAGAGGGAAAAGTTAACCATGCTGCCATAAAATAAAGAGAATGGGAAAGGAAACCCCACTGCCGTTTGTTAAGGAGGAACAGATGTAGAGCTGTAGCAGCCTGCCAGCTAGGTCAGGTCATATCAATACTGTGGTTGTTTTCTTGTAGCCTGATCCTCCTTTTGAATTCTCTTTCAGCAATGAAGTTGTAAGGAATGAATTAAAGAAGCTGCCAGCCCTTCCAACACCAGCGCTGAAGGAGCATCCTTCCCTTGCTTACTGGTAATGTTTCATTCTGTTGAGTAGCTTTGTAGTGTTTCATCCAGGGCCTGGCTGTGGCAGTCAGAGGTCTGGGAGTGATACTGGGGCAGGAATTCCAGCCTCCTAACTCTGGATCTGACACCAACTGGTTGCATGATGCAACACAAGTACAGCTATCACACTGCAAATCAGTTCCCCATGTGCTAAATGACTCCATTAATGTCTGGCAAGAAGATTCGCTGTAAACCTCCAAGTGTCCCAATGAAATCAAGAGACCAACCAAATATGCCATTCCCTTTTCCAGCACTTTACATCTGTGGAAAGCAAGAGTTTTCCCAGTTTGAAATGTCAGTGTTTTGCACTGCTATGCATTGTTTTTGAGTGATTTATACTTTACCTTGCAATTCCTCTCTGAACGGCACAGCTGAAGTAACAGGGATATATTTCTTCTATAATGTGAACTAGGTGATGTTTGGAGATAGAGGCTTGCAACTTTAGCTTTTATTGCACTGAAAATGAAATGCTGAGTAGGAGAAGGATCACAGTTAAATTCTGTATGCCCCACATATAGCTTCTGTACCACCCTGCCTATCCCTCTCATCTGTGCAAATAGGAAAGAATTAACGGGGAGATGCTCTCACTTGATTTTTCTGTTTGTTTCCCTGGCATGTTTGTCTTTATAGCATTCATCTACAAACCTCAGGGTGGGAGTGACCTTCTTTATCTGCTACTCTCAATTTCTTGATAATCTTGATAATCTGAGGATGGCAGGGGAAAAAGTTCAATTTATAGTTTATGATTTCAAGTCTTCATTTCGCCAGCAAATCCATTCACTTTAAATAGCATGCCTGTAATACCAGAACTACTGGTACCTAGTGTCAAGCTATAGATCAACCTCTACTCTGTGAGGTACTCATCACTTTCTAAGCACATCAGGGGAGAGTCGGAGTCCTAGGCAGAGATTAGGAACATTCACACAAAATAATGGTTCCCTTAATCACAAACACATTAAAAGATGTGTGGCCTGGTCTGGCTGACACTGTGGTAGCTCAAGTTAAAAGCCACCACAACAGAAACGGTGGGAAAAAATAGCATTGGACAGGGAAGAAGGCAAATCTGACCCTTCAGTAGCTACAAGGACTAAGGTCTTATTAAAGCACCCACATAATCTGTGCTCCAGTTTCCTGTGACAGTATCTGTATATAGGAAAGCACTGACAACCCAGGCTGCCTATCAGGCCCTATCTGCTCATCTGTCTGCCCCCAACATCAATGAGATAACTCAATATTAGAGAATATTAACTCTATTCCTGCTGGGAAATCCCAGCAGGACATCCTGTGTCTTCTCTTGCCTTTGGGCTATGTTGAGTTACCTGGAGCAAGAAGAACCAAGTGAAAACCTGAGAATGCAAATATATATGGTTATACACAAGATACAGCACTTCTTGCAGCTGTACTTAATTCTGTGGGAGTTCCCATTTGACTGAGAACAGGTCACAGATTGGGAAGCTAGTTGTTTCCAGTGGGGTAATAAAACCAGTGGCTACAGTCCGGTGACTCACTTATAATTTCATTTCAGTGACCAGGCAGTTAGTTATTTTTAATAGTGGCTTTTTCAAGTGGCCTTCTGAAATGCTGAATGGTCTCAGGAAGAGGCCACTGGTGAATCCAACAAAGACTCCAAAGTACAGCTTTAAATTTCCTTGATCTAAGAGGGCAAGATTTAAAGACGTCTTTACTGACGTGCTGCATCCCTTCTCTTCTGCATCTCACACAGGTTGCATACTAGATACAAATTTAATCTTGTCCCTTTCTTTTTGTAGTCAGTTTTGTGCTCTGGTTCTTCAGTATTAACACGAAGCAATAGCAAGTGAATTTCTAGCTCCAGAAAGGAACACTGAAAATATCAGGGGTAGGGCAAGCAATTGTTCCAGTTAGTTTTAAACAAACATACAAAACAATCCTATACTATATTTGTAACCGAATCAGAGTAGTCTGAAATAGACTAAAGAGTGATAAAATGCTAATTCAAGTAGATACCATGATGCCTTCAACAAGTGACTATTGCAGATCTGCGTGAACTAATACAGCATCTCTGATTCACATCATGAAAAGCATCACCAATTGCTTCTATTTAGTGCAGTAAGACCAGTAGGATGGGTCCTGGATTCTTAAATTCAGTGAGGTCTGAGTAAAGACAGTTTGTGGCCCCCAGCTCCACCTTCATGGAGTCTCCTGGTTACGCACCCTTGCTCCAGGCCTTTCCACTCCAACCTCTTCTTGGAGATTTGAAGACCTCACAACAAAGACGAAGGTTGTAATTTGTGTATCATGATGTTGCTGTTTACAGCTCTTTGTAGATTAAGAAGCATTAGTTGAACATCTTGTTCTCAAGCCTATCTTAGCATGACTGATTGAAGCAAGTAGGGTGTTGTGGGGTTTTTTTTGTTGTTCTAAATGAAAATTGAGTTTCTAGTCCTCTCACACAGTCCAAGAACTGAGGCCTTGAATTTTGATTTCTCTTGTCCATGCATGGAAACAACTGATAGTATTTATTATTTTAGACTCAAAAATAATCACTGGACACTGGAGATTATTTGTTAGTTCACTTTCATTGTCATTGCATTTTGTCTTAATCTAGATCCTCCCCAGCAAGCCAGCACAGGACTAGGTTACCAAAAGAATACAAGGATCCGAGGTAATAGCACAAAAGTAGGTGCCAGAATGGGATTTCTAATGAACTACAGGGAAGCCAGACTTCTCCCAGGTTCCAACAGAGTTTGCATGCAAGTTGTTTTTAGCAATCAAAAGCATCAGCATTGGCAGAAAATCCAACTCTGAAGATACTGACTGAAAACCACAATTCAGTTTCTCTTAATACACAACAGACCACAGGCTCTGATCCTCCTATTTGTCCTCATGGCCTGTGAGATGCTCTGCTGGCTTCAGTGGGGCAGTATTTGATCATTTGGATCACTGCAAATAGAGACGATGTTAGCAAATTTGAGAATATCATCAAAACTGACAAATCAGGCTGGGAACAGAATACAGAAGGGTGCAGCAGTGCATGGATAGCTATTTAAAACAGCTCAATTTGCTGGGTATAGAGTGGAGAAACAAATGCCTTTGAAAAAATGAATCTGGTAATAAGAAAATCGGGCCCCACATTTGCTTGCAAATTGCCTGTTCAGTTCTGTAGACTGCTGTGACAGGAGGGATTTATTGGTAATTCTTCAGATCTTTATGAGTTATTTGCTACAGGACATCATCCAAGTATTAATTTTTGCAGCTCTGGGGGGAACATTTTATGATCTGGCAGACAGACAGTAGCGCTTCAGCTGCCCCCATGTCTCCATATTAACTATGAATGAGTTTCTGTGTTGCTGACACAGCAACAAGCCAGAGCTGGGCAAGAGGAGACATCAGCTGGTGGTCCAGGCAGTGTCCTAGCACTCTCCCAGCTGTCAATAACAGCATGGCAGCTGCTTGGAGAACAGCTGAAATGACAAGGGAGAAGGTCTTTAAGCTCTGCTGATCCTCCTTCTGACCCGTGAATGATTTTGCTTGTTTTCCCTGGCACATACTGGGCTTACACCTCCATCCCAGAGTAGGAGGCAGAAAGTGACCTCTGTGCTGAATGATCCTCCTTGCGGGGCTGTGTGAATGAATAAAGAGTCCAAAGAACTATTTGAGAAGCCAGTATCAGGCAGCTAGGGTGGGATTCATCTGGTCGTCAACATTGCTTCAATGCAGACATCTCCACCTGAACTAGGGGCCCTCAGCTCCCTTTACTGCCAGTGGAGAGAAGCAACAATAATATCCTCCCAGGGAAACCACCCAAACAGACTGGATGAACTGTGCTCTGGAATACCTCTTCCCACCGTGTGACTAGCCCAGTGTTACAGAAAGGTGAAAGGCAGTAAGTCCTATTAATGCCTTGATAATTCAAGCTTTATTTTTTATCCAAAAGAAAGCAGAACCAAGACTGATATTTTTCTTGCACTTACCATCTGCAGGTCTCAAAATGTTATAAAGGAACATATTCAGTATTTTAAGAGGGCAATGGAGGCATGGAGAGTGTTGCCTGTATTTCTTGAGGAAAACTGAGGACTATCCCACATCTTTTAGTATGGTTTGAGAACATAAGTTATGCTGTTCAAGAAGGCTCCTTGGCATCCAGTCTATCCTTTTAAGGAAATGGGCCATCACTTGGCTTCCATACCCTAGGGATGTGGTACAGGAATATATCTGTCATAATAATAATTTGTAAGAAAGCAGTGCACAGCCAGAACCACATTAGGCAACCAGCAGGCAGGTGCATTTATCTGTTCCTTGAATGGCACTAATATTAGAGCTCAATCTATACCTTAAAATGTGCAGAATGGAAACCAAAGCTATGAGCATTTTTTGCTGGAGAAACTCCACTAGTTTTTGAGAAGTCATTCCTCATTTATTCCTGTGTGGGACAGAGCAATTGCATCCGTGTGCAATCAAGGGTTTAAAAGATAATTTCAAAGGGTTGTAAGCTCTCCTTGTCCATCTTTTTAATTAAGAATGATGGAGATCTTCCAGTACTGAGCACTCTTGTAATTCAGTTATTGCTCCAAAAGTAATCCTGTTTATGATAATCATAGCAGGCGAGCTAAGTTTTGCCTTCATATGCACACCCATACATCCACGGTACTTGCTGAGATCCATGGGCTGCATATGGTTTTATAACCATTGAATTTCATTACAGTTATTTTCTAAGCATTAAAATCATTCTGAGGGATTTAATGGGAGAGATGACCATTGCTTTACCCATGTAATTTGTCACTGACTCCATCAGCACCCTCTGATGTGCTGTGGTGCGCTGGTGGGACATCTCTTCACCCTGCCCCAGTAAGACCCCTTTTATTTTCACTGGATGAGTTGGTGAGTGAGGAAAGCAGTTACTGTGACAAATGCCAGGCTTGTGGGAGAGCAGCTGGCCCTGCGGATGAACCGACAGACTGCCTCCTCTGAATCACTCTTTGGTGTCTGCGCCGGTGTTTTCGTTTCTCTGCCTTCTTCCTGGCTTTACTAGGGACAGACACACAGTCCTCAGCTCCCCTGTGCCAGGGCCCCACTCCCCATCTGTGCACAGAACATCCTGTTTGTCGTGTCACAGTGTGGAATGTCCTCCTTGTGACATCACAGATCAGCATCCTGTGTATCACAGGAGGATGTGCATGGCCACGGCCTGTAACATCACTGAGGGCATTGTGAATGGTGTCAGCAGAGGTGGGCCCTGCATGGACAGGGGAACTTCTTTTTGGCAGAGACACTGGCCCCAGACAGATGTTCCTGGCACAAGCATGCATATGGGGAAGGCAGCAGTGGGAAGATGTAGCCATATTAGGTGGGCTATGCTCAGTGAAACAACTTGCATTTTTCCACAAATGGCACCATGAGCGCATCTGAGCAGTTACAGCAAGGTCATCTACCTTACCTTGCTGTGCTCCTTCATACTGTCCAGAAATAAAAAAGCTTCACTTCTGCCTGGAAAAAGATTATCATGTCGTGGACAACCACATGGCTGCCTTTAAATGTTCAGCTAGATAAAGAAAATGCAGAGAAGGAGCAATTTCAGTTCACAATAACCTAAACCATGTGTGGCATGATAACATTAGACAGACACTTGGTACAACTGCAAGCTTATGCAGTACTAGGTGGGGAAGGAGTTCAGGTTTCCTCTTAGACTGATAATGTTTGTAATGTACCTCTAGGAGACACAACAGACTTGGAGTTACAACATAAAGAGCAAGAGATTGGATTTAAACATGAAATCTTGAGTATTCTGCTATAGAAATGCAGCAAAGCCTGTCCTGTGGGCATTACATTGCTGGAAGTTAAAGAACCAAAGTCAGACCAGCATGAAAGTACCAAGTCTGTAGGCTGTGATGTGCTGCAGATCAAGAGGAATGCTGCTGAAATCAGAATGCACTGTGAACCTTTGAAAGGAGATCACTGATTTATGCTTTGCCATGCTGTGACCTTGCTAGGACACCTGATTGTACACATCAAATAGCTCCGGTTCTGTGCTCTCCTGCAACCCATTTACCAGAGAAATGGAAGATTCTTTAAAACTGAAACTGGGGATGTTTGACAGTCTGTTCTTTGGATCATGTTGATGTAGTCTCAGATGCTGCATCTCCGTTGTGTAGAGGTGAATGTCTAACGTGCCTTCATCAAATGTGCCTAGAACTGTTGTCTGACATTGAGGGCCACTGACTGGAACATTGTAAACCATGAAAATCTCTTACTTTCCAAAGCAGCACTAGGAATAGGCCCTGGCTGGTGCTAACTCCCAGTGCATGACCAAGTGTTGCCTGAGGAATTGCAAGTTAGTATAACCCAGAAATATGCAAAGGCACATCAATACTTCAACAACAAAGGGACTCAACTTTGAGTGACTAGGACACATTCTCTGACACTGTTTAACCTGCTGTTAAATACATAGCCTCTGTGTATACTGGGAATTTAACTCCTTGCTGAGATAGATGACTCCAAGAATGCTTCTAGTGCTCTTGCACATAGTTTTGTGCAGTTGCAGTGAGGAGTAATCATCTGTGAGTTTTAGGGCTCTTAGTGGCCACTAATTTCAGGGAGCTTTGCTAGCTGAGTACGCTTGGTGCTCTTGGAAAGAAAATGAAGCTTTAGCAGCATTGATACACACAGTGTAACATCATAGGCACCATTGTATGTAAGGAAAGTATTGTGGAGGGGGAAAAGTCTGTAGGTGTTTGTGAGTTAAAAAGGGTTATTCCAGAAAACCAACTCTTAGCAATCCAGTTTTATTCTCAGCCTGTGAGCTCCCCTTGGTTTACCTGAGTGATATCAAATTCCATCATCTAACATTTTTACTTGGCATCTTTTAATTCTCTTGTTGGTAGCTGTGCTAACAGAGCATTTATTACTCTTTTTGCATGCTTCTTGGTCAAGATATTGCCATTAAATACAACATCTCATTTCTTCTTTTCCAGCGAGGACAGAGTCATTGAACACTACAAGAAACTGAATGGCCAGACAAGAGGTCAAGCAATTGTGAAGTAAGTGAAATAAAAGCAACTTCTGGTGACCTTTGTTTTATCAGGAAATATTTATACTGGACTGTAAATCTAATACGTAGCTATGTCTCCCATCTTATCTAATGCTTTATGTATGTACTTATTATATTTTTAAGCGTTTCTTTTTAGATCATCCTCTCAGTGTTATTCTCTTATGTGTTGTTTTTCAGTTATATGAGTATTGTAGAATCCCTCCCAACATATGGAGTGCATTATTACGCAGTAAAGGTATGTGCTACAAAAAAGGGTTATTTACTGAATTATACTGATTTTGGAGAGGTAGGAGGAGAGGGGAAAATAACTGTACTGCTTTCAGAGTACAATGCACTATTACTGAAGTCTTGTTTCATTTCCTGTGGTAGAATAAATTTATTTCAACAGTGTAGTGAATGTTTGGTAAATACAGCCCCAAAGAGGAAAATGCTGTTCTTCAAGATAAAACTGACAAAGTCCTTTGGCTGTGCTAGAGAAGTTAGCCTAGAGATATTCAGGCCACATACAGTGGCAAGCTCTGGTGAAAACAGTGAACCAGCACCAAAGGAACAAGCCAGGCATTTTGCTGGCAAAGTCAGTGCTTCACTCCTTGTAGTAGTTCCAGGAGATTGGGTTTTTCCTAGCCTGCAGATGAATGAGCAACTAACTAGGGTCAGCCATGATCTGCAGACTGCAACTACTTTCATTTGAGATTCATATAGATGGATACAGATATAGTGCATAAAGATGCCAAATATTAATGCCAAATCACTGGTGCATACTCTAGACATGGCACTTTCCACCACACACACACTCACACACACACCATTCTCCACTTCTTACTGTGACAATTTCATGCAGGTATTCATGAAATTCCTTATTTTTTCTGTTTAGTGATTTATCACCAAATTTTCCAATCTCATGCTTTTGCATTGAGATCTCTTGAGTATTCCAGTCCAAGAAAGATTGGATGGATTAGGCTGCATGTTCTAGCCTGCTAACACTTGAGATCTGTTCCAGTGAACTCTGCAAGATCAGTCTGTGCCAGTGAGCAGCAGTGAGGCAATATAATAGCTTTTGCTTCTGCCTGATGTAGGGGTTTTGGTTTTGCTGGTTTTACTCTGCCTTGCTCTATCACATTAACAACAGATGTAATTTCATTGAGGACTCCAGTCCAGTAAATTGCAGAGGCTGGTATCAGATATCAGCCATTACTGCATGAGGACATTTTATTGCACGCTCAGACACAAAGCAGTTGGGTCCAAGACTGTCAGACCTTATCACTTTGTAGCTCTCAGATCCCATTACTGCTGCATTTTCAAGATTAATGCTAAAATCCCTCCACATAATTCAAGTCAGCTGGGTGATTCTCTTTCCTTCCTCTCTGATTTCTGAGTGTTTGGACTGAATAATTTAAAGGGCAGAGAAAGAGGATGTACCACTACACAAGGGACCAATGTCAAACCTCGCTTGGCATCATTTTGAGTAACTTGATTGCAGATGATGCATTCTAAATGGTTTTATACATTACAGCTAAAAGTGAAACAGATCTCTTCTTAACACCAAAGAGTTTAGTGACTTGAGGAAATTCAGATGGGCAATTTAATGGCACCCATGACATTCAAAGACATTGCTTAGAAACAAATCTTTACCTTGAACACAGGAAATCTCTACAATTTTCCCCTCCCATTCAATTTAACTCTTTCTGTTTTTTTTTTCTTTCAGGACAAGCAGGGAATTCCATGGTGGTTAGGACTTAGCTATAAGGGGATTTTTCAATATGACTACCACGACAAAGTGAAACCAAGAAAGGTAAGTGTTTGCTTTTCTGTCAAGGTCCAGGCTTGCCTGTCATGTTATAGCTTGATTTAAGGGTGTGATGTGTATCAAATGTTGGCACTGATTCATGTGATTTTGAAGGATGTGAAATTTCTCCCAAATGTGTCTGAATGTCTGCAGAGAATTAATGAACAAAAGTAGCTCTTAATTTATTAAATGTTGCAGTATGGGGGGAAAATAAGCAACACATAAACTTTGTTCCTCATGCTTCTATATAGCATGGTTCATAGGACATAAATTGGAGGTGCTGAAGACTTTTCAATGGCTGTGATGGGATTGAAGGTGCTCAGCTGACCCTTCATAGTCTGTTGTCAGGCCATAAATTATCAGAAAGGGAGAGGAGAGAAGAGGCAGCAAAGCTTCTTCCATGCCTTACAAAAAGAAAATACTGCATCATTTTCTCCAGAGTAGCATTCTAAAAATGAAGAGTTAATACCAAACTGAGGGGGAGAACATTTTTATCACATGCTTAAAGAAAATGCATTAGGAAGTTTCAGCCCAGCATCTCATTTGTTTAGGAACTTTACATTGTGACCACTCACAAAGTAAGGCGTGGCATGCAAAGATCTGATCATAAAATTAGAGCTTAAGCATTGACAATCAGCTGTTCTGATCTTTTTACTGCTATCTTTTTGTGAGACTTTCAGTGTATCTGAAAAACAGGATTTGTCTCAGTCCTTCCAAAATGCAGCTGAGAAATCCAGCTAACAAATATCCTTTTCATTTGAGAGGAGAAAGGTTCTGATCCTGTGAGCTCATCCTACCAAGTAGGCTCATATGTTCTGATACTGCTCCCTAGGATGCAGTCCAAAACAAAAAACAAAGCTCATCTCTGAGCATGTGCCCTGCAGGCTGATATGTACAGTCTGTTAGCAACAGTACTTCATGTACTGCAAACCCATGGAGACGTCAGGAAACAAGGTCTGAGGCTTCTTTGCAGGCTACAAGGAAAGACTGGATGTTGTGTTGAGGGACATGGTTTAGTAGGAGCTATTGGGAATAGGTGAACGGTTGGACTGGATGATCTTTTAGGTCTTTTCCAACCTTGGTGGTTCTATGATTCTATGATTCTACTGTGCAGAAATGGATGGATGATTTGGAGCAGCTAGGCAGCTCTCCTGTGGGTGCAAATGCTTCCAAGCTGAAATAACACACTGCATTTCTCTTTGCCTTGTCTCTGTTGCCAAAGTGTGCCGCTTCCTTTTTTCTGCCTCCTCCAAACACATTCAAGCTATAAAACACCTGGACTTTAGATAGCATCTTCTATTAAAATAAACTAGAATCAAGCTGTTGGTAGAAGACAGAACTGCTAAGGAGGAAGCAAGAGGTTATAGATTAGCCTTTTATCCACTGAAGGCCGTTCACTGGGTTTTTTATTCAATGAAGATGCTAATGAGGATGAGGAAAGCAAGGGGGTCTTCACAGAGCAGCTGTGCTCTAAAAGACTTATCTGTTTAGGATCAGTCACTACCTTCAGGGCAAGCCATACTTACACATGATAGTTCAAAACATGCCTAGGCTGGGTGTTTGTACCCACATATCTCCAACAGTGCCAGCTCCCCAGGGAAAACATGACCTTAAAACATGCCTTCAGAAGTCAATCACAGTGACAGAAACATTTCTTAGGAAGAAAATAGTACCTTGCTATGAGAGGACTCAACCATTCAGAAGCTATAGCAATTTTTATCAGCCGTGATAGTAAGAAATGGTTAGTGGAGGACAAAGAAGAAAGGAGGTCACATACTGTGCATGAGAGGGTACAACTATTCCTACTAGAAGAGTCAAGTCTCCTTACTTGGTTCCTCTACTTTCTTCTCACCTTTTCATGGTAATGGTCTGAAGCATTGGTTTTAGAGCTTGAAAGCATTTTGGCTGGCCTGTCTGTTAACCTGTCTCCACCTCTGACAATTGCCTCTTGAATCAGAAGGACTGTAGGCATCTCCTGCTCTTCTTGTCCAACCATATCCCTAAAAAATAGTTTTCTCTTCAATGGGAATTTATTTTTAATCTAAGCAGATTATGTATGCAATCCAGGAGACTCCAAAGAATAATTCTGCCTTATGAACAAACCAGGGAACTCTTGTGGCTGAGGAGAAGTGGTCAAAAATATTGCAGAGTAAGTTGGGTGGGAGGAGAGAGTAGGAATTTCCAGGCTAGAATTTGTCCATTGCCACAATCCAGAGATGGCATCAGTGAAAAGGCAGCCTAGAGGAGCATTTCTCTGCGATGTGATACTTGCAGACCCCATCTGTTGGCAACGCTATTCCAAAATGCACAGCCTATATAAGGGATAGGACATGAACAGAGCGACTGAGGCTTTGTTATTTCTCTCTAGTCTGCTTTTACTCTGTGTGGACCAAGTAAAAAGACTTTTTACTCTCCACATGTAGTAAAATCCTTCTGGCAAGAGCAATCCAACTGCCTCAGTGAGATGCAATGTTTAATTCTTTTCTAATTAGATTGCAAAATTGCATTTGATAACCCTGGTATCTGGGAGCCTACCATAGGATCTGGCTCCTGTCATTGTAGCAGCAAGAAGTGGTTCAAGTCTGCTGTGGAAAGGGGAGGGGTAATCATTGATGAGCTTTCTGCAAAGTAAAATTAGAGGGGAGGAGGGAAGAGATTATGTCTTTTCTGATATTTATTATTTTGTCCTACACATTGCCAACACCAGAAACAAGCTGAAAAAAAGCAGTGCAAAAATAAATCTCCTAAAAGAAGCACAAGCAGAAAACTGTAGCAAGAAACCAGCTGAAACCAAGACATTTGTTTTAAATGCATATAAAAAACTTTGCTCGTCTTATAGGAGAGATTGTAATGTTTTCCTCTTATGTCATCCTAGACAGATTTTCAAGCTTACTGTGTTTGCAAGTAGAACTGTAACCCACACTACGCAGCTGGGCCTATCCCAGGCGATCCCATTAGCAGTCAGTCAAAAGCACGTTGTTATTAAACTGCTGGAGTAAATCAGCCATGTGTCTCTAGAAAGCTAAATAGGTTTGTCAGCAAGTTGGACGAATCCAGAGAGGAGAATTGGGGCTGACGTTGGGCCAGAACCTGATATTGCTCCCAGTATTCTCACTCAGGCATAAGTCTTCTAGCATTACCCGGGGTGCAGTTGAGATGGGTATCTGGCACCTGGTCAGAGGTGGTTCAGTCAGGAATGTGGGGCTATTAAACTGGAATGCAGCTTGTGCTGGGCCACAGAGCCTAGTGTGACTCTGTGCTTCTATTTTTGTTTCCTCCTGCCTACGCTTTCATTCTGTGGAAGCCCCAAAACTAACCAAAGCCATCACTCTGAGGCCAATCATTCTCCCTTCTGTTTTTCTCCTATATGTTCAGGGACTAGCTCAGACTCAGTAAGTACTACCAAAGGCTTCTTGAATATCATACAATCATAGAATGGTTTGGTTTGGAAGGGACCTTTATATATATATATATAGTTCCAACCCCCACAGAGGGGGAGGCAGAGACACATCCCTCTAGATCAGGTTGCTCAAAGTCCCATCCAGCCTGGCCTTTAACACCTCCAGGGAGGGGGCATCACAACCTTGCTAGGTAACCTGTTCAAACAGAGATTTGATTTGAAGTTCATTCTTAGGTATTAAATAAATGCAAAAGTTTCAGCCTCATTTAAGTAGACCTCACAAAACTCATCATAACAGCTGAAAAAGAAGAGAATATCAACTACGGAAAGATGGCTGCTATTCTGCTAGAGAATGTGCTACTCGGTACTGTCCTGCATGTCCTGCAGTATGCTGAGGCATGCTGGAAATTTACTAACAGCTTATAGAACTTTTTTCATTTTTGTAACAGCAATGCACAGCTTCCAGATGGGCAGAATCCATCTACCTCTATGTCATAAAGACTTATCTTCTACATACTCTTCCTTGCGAAGAGAAAAGGCCCTTCAGGACTTGACATGCACAGCAAAAAGGAGTCACTGCCCTGCTGGGTTCTACACAGCATCTTAGGTCAAGATGTACCTTCCATAATTCATGGTGAACCAAAGCATGCTCTTTGGAGCCAGCTCTTCAGAAAGGACATGCCTGCACTGCTTTATCAGTTACTCCTGAGGCTGTCATCACCAAGACCAGACATAATTTGTTTGTCTCTCTGTGTTATGCAGAGCAGTTGGAAAGAGCAGGACACTGCAGTCCCTCTATATTGTCCCTGTATAGTATTCATTCATTTTAACCAGTGGGTAGGGATGTAACTCCACTCTATCTGAAGGGACCCATGCATGAAGCCGAAGCAGTGTAGCCTGGAGCTGAGAGATCTGCATGCTCATGCAGTTGTAGCAGCACTAGGCATGTCTCTGTTGTTCTAGTGAGATATTCCCACTGATTTAAGAGCCTGAAGGCATCTTTCAGTGCACACAGCTTAACAGTAAGCAATTAACTCCAAGCTGAAGAATTAAAAAGTAACAAAGTCAGCCAAAGGACTTCCCTATGGCCAGTAAACAGGCACAGAAATTGTTTAACCTATCACCAAAAATAAAATGACCTTAAAGAAGGTCTGATACTGTTTGGTTGCTTTGCAAGAAATACCACTATTTGGTGTTACCCAGTTTTCTTTCACAGAAAGACAGTGATTATGAAACTTAGGGTGAGCCTTTTTTCTCAGGCGCATAAACATTACCAGTGTTCTCATTCTCCAGTTGACTAAAGAGAGCCCAAGAAGAATAAATAGTTTTGGAAACAAGAAAACATATGGGACATCCCAAAATTCAGATGTGAATGTAGCTTGAGAAAGATTTTCCATAGCAGCTAAACATCCATTTCTGCCATTTCTTCCCAGTGTTATCCTTTCTCTGAGATCAAATAAAACATGCTATGAAAATACTATATTCTGTTTGTAATACCACCACAAAGCTCTATGGACTCTCATTACAGAAGGATTTAATATGTAGTAATATTGGAAGTCCAAAGCAATGCTAACAGCTTGACTTCCAATTTACACATGCAAAAAGA